GTTGTTTTTAGTTCATAAATTGTAAACACTGATTATAGTGTCTTTGCGCCAACAAAATATAATATTTATCCCTCAGGCTCGAAAAACGTGCTTGTTTGGTCCTCTAGACGGGGGTGAAGGCAGTCATTTTTACCAGCCGAGAGAAAAAGACTCTTCTTTTCCCTATGGATCATTTTGCCCTGGCAAGTCTGGAAAAAAAAGCAATCTTTTTCCCTTGGAAAAATAAGAGCCTTTTGTCTCAGCTGGTAAAAACGAATGCCTTTAACTCCCTGTCTTCAGTGACCCACACAAGTACCTTTTTTGTGCCTGTGGAATAAAAATTATCGTCCATTATTCAGGGCTAAGGCCAGTTTTTATTCGGCTGATATATGATATTTTCATTACTCGCTCTCAACTCGAGCGCCATGGCGCCCACGCTTCAACTCGTGCTGAGTTCATCAGACTCACAGATTTTCGCCCCTTGTCATGAAATATATTACTTTTTATGTAACTATTATGGCGTGCACTGTAGTAAGCCGTTATAATAATAGTGTGCAATATAAACAACTATTATCATTTCTTATTTTTTTTCAAAACCAAAGTCGCTCTCCTCGTAATTCACAATTTTCATCAAGGGACTGGATGGCGCCCCCGGCTTCGGTGCGCCCCCCCCGCATTGCGGGGGTTGCGGGGGTGAGATTTATGCCACTGTCTACAGATGTTGCCGCGAAGACACATTTTGCCCGGATAAACCGCAAACCATGTGAGCACATTCTTTCCAGCGCTCCCTCCAAGACTACCATTAATTCTGCAAAATTGTCTGCGAAAATCAGGATATCGTCAAAAAAATTCCGTACCTGGGGGAGGCCTTTTAGAACGGATTCCATACGTCGTCGTTGCCAAATGGCTGGAATATTTGCAGCTCGATACACTGCACGAGTCGGTCGGATCGAACCATATGTGGGTGTATTAAGCGTAAGCGCGTAACTGAATTCCTCATCGACAGTTAGATGTGAGTAAGCATCTGTGATATCAAGGTGACAGAAAACCTTTGCGCCTCTCATCTCATTGAAGATTTGCTCCACTCTCGGAATTGGATCTTATCTATAATAATGCGTGGATTAAGCGTTGGCTTGTAGTTCCTTGTGATGCGCAGTCTTCCGTTCTTTGTTACTACATGTGTAGTGGACGCCCATTCTGAGTATTCTACTTTTTTATAGAAACTTGCCGTTAGCTTAGATTCAATCTCCCTCGCGTACGCATCACGAAGTGCAAACGGAATCTCTCTTGCTTTAGAAAATACTAGGGTAGTTCCCGGTTTCAAGTGCAATTTGGCAAGCGGGCCTATGAGCTTCCCTGCTACATCACTGAACGCGTCTTGATAACGATCTAAGAGTTGCTTCAATTGGCTTTCCTGTTCCTGAGTGAGGCGAGATGGTGTAGCAGATACCGCATGGATTTTCTCCGGCGATGAGAAAAGTTTTAAAAAATCAAATTTATGGGTAAAATGTGAAATTCATTCTCGTCCCAGGAATGAATCGAAATCGCCGTTGACTACGTATACGTGTAGTCTCTTAGAAGTTTGGCCAATGGTAACGTCGACTGGTAAGCGTCCAATACATTCAATTTTATGCAGTATATAACTAGCAAACTGTCTATCGGTTTTCTGCAACAAAACTGTAGGTTTAATGGACTGCAAAGTTTTTTTACTAACGATAATTTTAGAACGCATTATTTTCATACAAATGAGTCATTTTTTTCATGTGAACGATATAATTCCTGAATGTCAGTCTGGCTTCCGTAAGAATTACAGTACCACTACATCTCTTCTTCATCTGTTAGACTCTGTCCTTCGAGCTTGTGATAATGGCTCTGTGTCTGCTCTTGTAGCTTTGGATTTTTCCAAGGCTTTTGATACAGTTAACTGTGAGCTATTAACTGCCAAGCTACACCATTATAGCCTTTGCGACTCGTCTTTAGCACTTTTACGTTCTTTCCTCTCTAATCGTTCTCAGCAAGTTCTTGTATATAATCCGTCTCCTAGTTTTTCCCTAATATCAATGGTCTCCTCTGGTGTACCTCAAGACTCTACTCTTGGTCCCTTGCTATTTAATCTATTTGTAGCTGATTTGCCATCTATAGTTGTCTTCTCTAGACCCTACATGTATGCTGATGATGTACTGCTTTTCACATCTTTCAAATCATCTGAAGCTCTCTCTGCTGCGCGATTACTGAATGATGACCTTCTACAAATCGTAGAATGGTCGACGTTGAATGGACTACACTTAAATCCCACCAAATCCTCACTTTTAATTGTTGGTTCTCCTACCTTACTCTCGCACCTTCCTACTTTCGATATTTCTATCCAAAATGTTTCACTAATTCCCAGCATGACTATTAAAATTCTGGGTCTTCACATTGACTCATCATGGTCATTTGAACACCATGTTGTTGCTAAATGCAGGCTTGCATATTCTCGTCTTAGACTGCTTTATCCTTTTCGTCACATTATGTCAACCTCTCAGAAACTACAAGTTACACAATCTCTAGTAATATCCTTATTTGATTATGCCGATACTGTATATATTCCTTGTCTCAAACAACATCATCTCCATAGAATACAATTAATCCAAAATTCCTGTCTTCGTTTTTCCTATGGTGTTAGAAAGTATGATCATATTACTCCTTGCTTTCAGCGATCTGGCTGGCTGAACATTTTTCAGCGTTTCATAGTTCATTTATGTTGCTTGATTTATAATGTTCTTCGTACAAATACACCTAGATATCTTCGTGAGTTGGTCTATTTTAACGTTGACTCTCATTCGGGTTCTTTGCCTAGTACTCATCAGCAATATCAACTTTCGTG